AGAAGTCAATGTTCTTGGCCAATGCCCAGACCTTGGAGACTGTACATGGCCACTTTCATCAAGGGAGCTAGTTCCTTCAAGAGCAATCTGCTTCTTGTGCCTCCTTGGTTGTTCACTTACAAGGCAACCACTCGGTTGTCCGTTTTGATCAGGACCCAAGATTTTTTGAGCATCTGAAGGAATTCCAAGATGGCTCTGACAATGGCCCTTAGCTAACTTAAACTTGAGTGTAGATGACTGAAACTTGCATCTGTTGTAATAATGTTCCACGGAGGTTCCTCTAACGGGAAGCCGTTCGCCAAATTCTTCTTGCCCCTCCAGTTCAACCCTTTTCTTACTGGCAGGGGCAGAGTTTTCTGGAGAGAGCTGAGATTGTGTCTATCACTGCTCCAAGGAATATGATTTTTTGAGAAGGAATTAGGGAGCTCTTCTCTATATTCAGAGGGCAACCGTGATCTCGAAGAATGTTCATCATCACTAGAGTATGATGAACCACTATTCTTTAGGATGGACCTATGATGAGGATATCGTCCAAGTAATGGAAGATTTCGATACCTCCTACTCTTATGAAGGCTATAAAAGTGACAAGAACTTTTGAGAATGTTCTTGGTGCCAAGCATTCTCACGTGGAGCATGGAGTTCACTCCTTTTAAGTTCAGGATTAGACGCCACTTTCCTTGGGGTTTTGGAGCCAAGAACACTGTGGAGTAAACTCCTTTGAACCTTTACTCTTTCGGAACTTCTTCTATAACCCTTTGTTCCTGAAGAGAAGAGATGCAATTCCTCATGGCTCTTCGGTTGATTCCCGTCCACACCCTCGACTTCCTGAAGAGAGCGGATTATGGGTAAGCGGAGAACTCTATTCTGTAACCTTCTTTAATGATGGAATTGACCTAGACGTCTGTGGTACCGTGTAGAAGAACCTTAGTCTTCCTCCCACAATCCCCGAATGGGCCTGAAGACCTTCAGAAGTTCTTCCCAGAGGTTCTAGATCCTCTCCCTCTGGAAGTCTTATTGGTCGATAAATGGGAAAAGCTTTTCCAAGAGGAATTTCTAGAATACTCCCTTCCTGGTTTATAGCTTCTGCTGTCCCGAAAGGACCGATCTTTGAAGCGTTTAGTTTTCCAGGAAGAGGAAAAAGTATCTTCCTTTTTGTGGCAAAAAAGCTTTTTTGCCATCTGCAGCCTTTTGTATGGCATCCTCCAGAAGGCCACATATAGATGCCTTGGAGGCATAGTCGGCTTCCTATTAATGAAGCCATAAGGCCCCTCTAGAGTCCACAGACAGGGCAATACTTTTAGCAATCATACGAGTGATGTCTAGAGAGGCCTCAGAGCAGAATTCTGTAGCAAAGCTGTAGTCCTTGAGACTTTCAAGGAGATGTTCCCTCCGGACTCCACGGTCAATGTCCTCCTCCAGATTTGCGAGCCATACTCTTAAGGCCCTTGAGAGATTAGTTAGAGTTGGTTAGAGCCACCGCAGGATTGAAGCAGAGCCTAGGGCTAGATAAGATTTTATGAGATCCCCATCCATACATTTCTGCATAGGTTTTCTAATGTAGGCCTGGAGTCAATGGGGAGCATAGTTTTCTTAGCCATATGAATCACGGCAGCATCTATACTTGGGACTGAGTTCCATATTTTGCAGTCAATGGCAGAGTAAGGATATATCTTTCTGAGCTTACTCTTTAAGGTGGATTTTCTTTCCGGCTTGTTCCATTCTTGAAGGATTGTGATCTGATTGAAGAATGCCCTGGGAATGTTGGCCTATTAAGCTCTAGGTCCTCAAAGAACCTGTCAGCCTCTCTCAACTCTGGCTTCTCTTCCATGAGACTAAGAGTTTCCCTGGTAAGGGTAATCTGCCTAAATAAACTTAGAGTCAAGAGACCTGGAGGTACAGTCAGGTCCATAAATATTGGGACATCGACACAATTCTAATCTTTTTTGGCTCTATACACCACCACAATGGATTTGAAATGAAATGAACAAGATGTGCTTTAACTGCAGACTTTCAGCTTTAATTTGAGGGTATTTACATCCAAATCAGGTGAACTGTGTAGGAATTACAACAGTTTGTATATTCAACTTCCTCCTCACCATCATCTGAGACGTCCCACATATCAGGGTCTTCTTTAGAGCATGAAGACTGGGGTTCGGCTCTACGTCTCTTACATTGAACAACTTTATCCGTGGTAGACTTAAAGCCCTCAGCAATAGCTTGGGAAATTCAGAGTTTAAGGTCATCCTCTTTGGAACTCCTATTGGAATTATCTGCTATTTCCAACAAACATTCTCTGTAGAGGTTCATTCCCTGAGGTGCAGAGGACGAACAGTTCATGCATTTATTGGTTTTATCCATTGACATTCAATTCTGACTTTCTTGGGGGTTAATCCAATTGTTTGCTAGGGCTGAAACAAAGCCATATATAAACATATATTACAGGCTCAATCTGGCCCTCTTTTTAAAAAACAGAATATTAAAAATTATTGGCTCACCTGTGTTTTCTAGAGAGGGATCTTGCAGAGGGAGAATCCATACTATAATGGGAATCAAAAGAAAAATCAAAAAACCCAAATCCACATCCCATCAAAATTCAGAATAAAAATTGAATGTCAAGTAAAGTTTAAAACTCACAAGGAGAAAAAGCATACCTTCTGTCAATGAGACACAATTCAAGCAGCAAAGGAAAGGAAAAAACTCCAACTTCAATGAACTGAACCAAAGGACGTGAAGCAGTGCGCTCAGGATCGCTATCAGCAGATGCATCATGCACACAGAGCCTCAGATCACTCAGATTTAAAAAGTGCAGAGGGAAAATGGTAGTTCCGGGCATGTGCCGAACGCTGGAATGCACGCTAGTCATTTGTCATACCTACACGACCCCCGCGTCACATTCGGTCCCGCGGAATACGGAAGAGATGCCACTTCTGCTTGCTGGAACAGACTACCGCACTCCAGCGATTGAAAACGGAACGATCAGTGGCAGAGAGCCCCAGCAAGCAAGACAGAGAGCCAAAGACAGGTAAAACAAGGACAAAAAGGAGGTAAAGAAGAGCGTCCCTACAATGAGTCCCTCCAACTGAAGGACCTCAATGGATCCCAATAAACTGCCACTGGGGGATTTAGGCCCGAATTTTTAGGGGTAATGCCAAAAAAAGGGGAATTTTTAAAGAGGTCCAACCCCATGAAATACATGTAGCTGTGTCTCCATCAGAACACAAAATATAAATCCCACGCAGCAGTCCAGTGCTGACAGGCTGTTTGCTGGGTCCTTCAAATGAAGAGAGGCTGAACTACATTAGGAATGAACCCACGACAAATGCAGGAAGGTGGCCAAAAAAAGTATTTTAAGTCCTGTAGAATCAGCTAAGGACAGGAAAAAAGGCTGTGATGTAAGGGGGGGGAGGGACTCTTTATACCTATCAGTCTACTTAATTAATCTTATTAATTCCTGTCCTGTGACTGCTAAGGGAGGAGCTACCCATAAGTGATGCTGACATGGTTAGCCAGGAAAAAAATGGGTTAATTTCCAATCAGATGTTAACTTTAATTACACACACAGGAGGCTCCTGCAGGTTCTAGAAACATATTAACCGAGCAGGAAATACATTAAACAGACTGTGCAATAAAGGAACCTAGAATATCTAGGTTCCTTTTCAGGAAGGGTTTAGCAAGGCTGTATAAATCGCATGCAAGTGGCTGTGACTAGAGCTGTATAAACAAAGTCATTTAATTCCTAAATGGTAGAGAATTGAGCAGTGAGACTGAAGGTGCCATGAACTATACACCACAACTGCTTCATTAAGCTAAAGTTGTTTTGGTGTCTCTTTTTTATATTTCTTCCTTTCCATGAGTACCTAGGCTAGTTTTCACCTAGTAGAGATACATTGTTGCATACTACCATCCATGTGTGTAATAATAAAAATCCCTGCAGGTTCTTTACAAATTAACAACAAACTGGAAATGTGATACATTTAATTTAACTATTTTTTCACTTATATTTTGTATGACAAACAGGTATTTTGGCCTATACTCTGATATATGAGACACTCTATGAACCATTGCACAATCTCTACATTTTTATCAGCCAGTAATTCAGTAAAGATTATATAAATTCACATAATTTACATTTTTCTTTCAATCTCTGGGCAACAATCTGCACACACATAATTCTTTATTGCATAAGTTTTGGGTTAGCTATTTTATTCATCAACACGCATTTCAAATAATTGTATACTATTATGATTATTATTAAATATTTTTTTTAGTCAAAAAGATATTCGTAGTGAAGGGGTTGTAGCGGAGGCCTGGTATTTCACTTTAGGATTCCTGGTATTTCACAGGTTAACTCCACTAAGATCCCAGTGAGGCTCAGGAACAAGTGATGAAAAATCCCATGAAGCAATAATTCCAACAAGCAAGGTAATCCACGAATATATCCCCATACAGATCCCAATGACTGGACGACACACAGGATCAGGAGCAGAACTGACTTTTATTACACACAACCTCCTTTTAAGCATTTCTCCCATGCAAGGGAGGGATTCACATTCATTAATACAGTACCCAATGGCATAGCAGTTACCTCCCACACATCTCCTCCCTTTAGTATGACACCTAATCCCATTATACCAGGTACAGTTTTCCCCAAGTTCTGGATGTACCCCAAGATTAGCAGGTACACCCATACTTAGGGAACCCCCTGTTAGCCCTGATCTGGGTGTCTAACATATCCAAAATTCACCCAGATCGGACCAGGGGTTCGGGAGTTAGGTGGAGGAGGAAATTTGACCGACCGCACACGAGGTGGTATCCGAAAAGGGTTCCATGCGTTTTGGCCCTGTGGTCGGTCTCTGTTCAGGAGATAAAATACACCGGAATACATGCCATCCACTATTAAGATGGACTCCAAACTCACCGAACGGGGGCCTGATTCGTCTTCCCGTTCGTGAGTTATGGAGCTCTGGAGGTGTCAGCTGTGTTCGGGTAATCGAGTGTCCGATTTGAGTTCCAGACACTCGACGACCAAACACCGCTGAGTCTTTCGTGTGTAAGATGGCCACCACCACGTGTTCGTATGTCGAATGGCGGCAACCCAGATCCATCAATAAACCACCTATTAGTCTGCGGTTAACACATTTCTACAGCTTAATTAGGAACACACTTCACTCTGGGGAGGTCTATTAGTTCGGTAGTTTCCATACGTATGAAATACAGATGGAAACTACCGAACAACCATACGAATGCCAGTTACAATGAATTACAAATCAGAAATAACACACGAATTGCAGGATTCTAATAGTCTTTAAGGACCGCCACAGTACTATACGCTACAGGGGCTAATTCCTCTGTAGGCATATTTAGTTGTCATTTTCAGCTATAGCAAAATGCACAAGGAAATGACACATTGGAAGTCAACTAAAGGTCCAGAATGACTGTCCGAGCCTTTTTAATGGCCGCACTAAATTCAAAGTACTCCCTTGTGAAATCTATATTGTTAATGGTATGCTTTTAAAACAACCAAAAAAAAAAGTTATTTGTTTTTTATAAATGTATTATCTAGGATGAGGATATTTGAAGCATAGTTTTATCAATGAAAATATTTACACATTAAATGTTTGCTAGTGTTCAGATAAGGTCCTTCATATTTAAACATAATAACAGGTATTCTTGATTAGTAAATCCAATGCAGTTCTGAATTTGTGATTTGGAATAAATGTTATGCAAAAATAGGCGTCCTGGGCCAGAAAGGAATTGGACCTTGACTGCTAAATATAGTGTTAATTTCTATTTTCCTTGTAAACTAATTGCTTTAATTATAAGCATTGCATCTTCTTTCATTTAAACAGGTCAATGAGCTGAGAGGGAACAGATATCCCAAATGTATTAGCACAGATATTTCGCTCATTAGACCCTGACATCCTATTGTACTTCAGAACAATATATTCAAAAAAATTTAAATAGCATACTTAGTATTGTGAAAGAGATAAACAGCTAAATAGAGCACAAGCAATTTGTAAAACAAAAATATGATTGAAGGAGTTAGTTTTATGATACACAATATTTACATCAATTCAAACATAGTACCTACTGTGAAGTAAATTAACCCCTTAAGGACTGGACTGTTTTTGCGATGTTGTAC